TATTTTACTAATACAGTATCTGAGGGCAGCTGAGGCTCAGTGACAAGCCGAAAGCATGTAAATATTTTCATGGAAAGCAACAATGTTGTGTACGTTTATTCTAGTTGAGGCTCTGGTTGTATGGGTTTCACAGTTCTTTTGCTTTATTTGATAGTTGTTTCTTCTCAAAAGCATAAACTATATTGTTAATATGTTTGAAAATGCAGTTATTTTATGTATTATGACACGTCCATCGAAATGCTGTCCAGATGGACAAAACAATTTGGAGTCAAAGTGCCCTGGTAAGCTAGACATCAAACATCCAAAAGAACTTGGACGAAGGGTTGTGTGGTTGCCAGCAGAGGGCAGAGAAAGACCAAGTATGAAGTAATTTATTCAGCTGCAGATACATTGAGCAGAAGTTGTGATGCAGCAGTGGTGTGTTAAAGCTTCTCTGTAGGTTTGAAAGGTGCTATTCTTTGTTTCTGTAGAGTCTTCCTATTCTATCTTTTCTATTATAGCCTTGATTTCTTTTGTGATCTTTTGCATCTGCTGCATCACATCGGACAGTCTTGATAAATTGTTGAAGTGCTGCTCTGATGCAGAGTGAACAAAGAATAGTTGACAGCTGGAAATGTTATTTATTTATACAGGATGCAGTTAGTGTATCGTGAAAGATGATGTAGTGCGTGGATAATGTGGTACAAATGACTAGTACTAGGCTAGAGTGGTTTCTGTATAGGGTGGAATGAGTTGTTATAAACTTCCCATTGAACAAGGGAATGTTTGATGATTTATGTATTCCTTAGATGTTGTATTCTGTATAAATGAAATAGTATGTGCTTCCTCTTGCCTACGTGGGGATATAGGTAGGGTACAGTTGTGATTGTGATGTAGGGTGGAGTTGCAAGTACGTAAGAACCGTGTTTCTTTAGTTCTGCTCTGGTAGAAACCTTTTCTTGCTTTTTCTTTTTAGAGTGCATGGATCTTACGAACAGTTGTGGGCAGGACAAGTGGCAGATGCTTTGGTTGATCTGACTGGAGGAATTGCTGAAAGATGGACCTTGAAAAGCCCTGGGAGAAACACGGAGAAAGAGAAGACTGGCATGGTTTTGGAGAAAGCAGTGTTCAGGAGATTAATGAATCTGAAGGAACAGTGTGTAATAAGCTGCTCGGTTCTCAATTCCAGACAAGGTAACAGTCAAGTTCTAGTACTTCTTAAAGTAAAAGTCACAGTTTAACAGGGTTCAGAGCGCAAGGCAGTCTGCAAATGGTTCTAGAGCCATGCGAGTTTCACGGTGCAATTTTACGTAATGTTGGATAAATAAAGATTTAAGGATGTTGTTGAGTTCAGGGTGGAGGGTGTTTTTGAGTAGTGCTTTTTATGTTAAGTGCTAATGTGGTCAGTTCTCAAAAGTTAACAAATGCCCCTCACCCAAAAACAATCTTAAAAACCTTAATGAATTTCAGCACCAAGAATTTGTAGCTTTTTGAGATCACGTGGTGAGTTAATATGCTTTAAAATTTGTGTTTATTTTATTTCTTTATAATCACAACTAAAATGAACTGTTTGGGGTTTTTATGCTGTTTTTGTACCAATTTAAAAACAGCTTCCTCTTAGTTCAAAATTGCCTTCTTTCACAGGATCGTTTAATGTAATTGTAAAATACAGAGCAGGTTCCTTTTGATTACTTTCAAATGTTTTTTTGGTTTCTATTCAGGTGCAAGTGACCTAGGAGAATTTCATGCCTTTATTGTGATAGACGTGTTGAATCTGTCTGAAGTGTCAGGGAAGGAAATCTTCCTACTGCGAATACGAAATCCTTGGGGAAGGCGGTGCTGGAGAGGTCCCTGGTGTGAGGGGTGAGTAGGTTTCTTTTCATTTGGAGAATAATTTGTGGAAGTTCTGAAGCACAAAATATATCTATGTATTGCAAAGGTGAATATTTCTGATAGGCCCTAGCGGAGGAGAGGGGCTTCAGTTCGCCTGCAGTCCTTTAGAGACTTCAGTAGTTCACACAGCTCGTTGGTTCTGGGCAAGTAATTTTGATCTATTAATTCTGGTAATCTAGATTATTTTAATAACAAGGGTTTTTTGTTTATTAAAGTGTTGTATCTTTTCATGAGATAAACTTAAGATGTTGGTTTATTTTCTGTCTCCGATTTTTGTGGGGTTTTTTTGTTCTGCAGTTGATCTAAGTATCTGTGTTTATGTTCGTGACTTCCTTAGAAGTCACTTGGCTTTCCTCAGCTGTTCTCATTCAATCCTGTCTCAGTTGCAGAGGAGGATGTATAGAACAGTCTAGCAGAAGGAAGGACAGATGTCTGTGTTTTCTGTGTGTGTGCTCTCCTTTCCGTGGAGTCATATGAGTAAGAGAAGCTGAAATCGAGTAGATATAAAGAAGAGATCTGTTTTAAAGGAAATGCAAAAATGTTTAGCAGTTTGTATAGCAAAGTAGGAAGAATGACAGGGCAGACCCTGCTCGCTTATTTTGAGAAGTGTTAGCATGTTTAGACTGCACAAAAGAACATGCAATTCTTCAAGCAAGGAGCAAGCTTTCAGCATTAAATTACAGTAACGGTATGATCGTGTTAATAAACCTTTTGGGAGAACGTTTGGGTTTGGGTTTGGTTTTTTTCCCCCCACCCTGAGTTAGAAAGATGGCTTGAGCACATTAACTGAGACTTAACTTGATGTTTTTTGCTTTTGGCAGAGTTGTGGTTATACACTTGGTCTCTTGTAGTTTCTTTGCCAGACAATAAATCGCCATGTAGTTACAAGATGGCATTTCACTGAGTGGCCTTAGAGCCCTGTTTTATTCAAGTGCAGAACTGTTCTTTTTTGTTAGTACTTTGAACATTTTTGATTGTTTCACTAGCTTTTAGTGGGCCCTAATTACTGAGGTGTTTAAATTCTTGGCTTATCGTGACTTAGCTAGCAAATTAATGGGGCTAATCAGCTACTCATACACAAAGTGTTAATTTATGTTCTCTATACAGCATTAACGTTCTTTCAGAACAGTCACTGTGCAGCTTGTTTTACTTTTTTGTCGCTATTTTTAAGGGTTGTTAAAAATCTCCCCCATTTTTGACTGTACTGTCAGCTGTAAGCAAAGTAACCATTTCACCTAGAGGAATGCTGCTGTATCCCGTCTGGTGTTAGGTTGTTTCTAAGTTTTCTTTGATATGCTGTGAGCCATACTTTCTATCATCCCTCTCATTGACACTGCCTATACAGGAAATATTCAGTGCAAGTATTTGACAATAAAATGAAGAAACCTCCTCTTATTGTCCTGGTCCATAGACTATCCGATAGAACGTTGTTATGGAACTTTATTGGGTAAAGAACTAAACGTTAACTTTTGTCTTACGTGCAGTGGTGAAGGATGGAGCCAGCTGGATCCAGCAGTGGCCTCAGAACTGCTCTCACAGATCCAAGAGGGAGAATTCTGGGTTGATGAAGAGGAATTTTTCAGGGAGTTTGATGAGATTACCATGGGCTTTCCAATCAATGAGGAAGGACATCTCCAGAGCCTCTATACAGGTGTGGTATGAGAACTTCTTTCTCATAGTTGTGGAGTTGTGGAGTCTCCTTCTCTGGAGACATTCAAACCCCGCCTGGACGCCTTCCTGTGTAACCTCATCTGGGTGTTCCTGCTCCGGCAGGGGGATTGGACTGGATGAGCTTTTGAGGATCTAATGTTCTGTGATTCTGTGATACAAATAATGTTATGTCAGTAGGAAAGACTGATTTGAAATGCAAATGGATCCAAGTAGACTTTTATTTCTCTTTCTCAGTCTTTCTTTCTCCTTTAGATCCATAGGCCTTTTCTGTCTCTCTTTAGAGGAGCCTTTGGTATTTCCCTGAGGTCTAGTTACTTGCTAGTTTGTTGAGAGATCAGGGTTCTCTATCTAGAAGGCTGCTGTTCTGGACAGTCTTGTGTGTTTCATGGGTTTGTTTGGTGTTTTGGGTTTTTGTGTTTTGTTTTGTTTTTTTTTTAACTGGGAGATAAACTTCAGATTTCTAGAAAGAGTTTCTTGTTGTAAAAATGTCATCAATCTGCCACTGCCAGTTGTGATATTCGTTCTCATGCCTCTCAAAATGTTGGTCATGAGTATCTGCTTGGAGAAAGTGTCAGTGCTATGACAGCATCTTTTCTTGGGCTGGCGTCTCTGTGCCATGTATCTGTTGTATGAAATTAATTAGCCTCTGATGTCTGAAATCCACACCGTGTTTTTGTTATTTTGTTAGAGAACGTGCTGTGTCACTCGCAGAATCTTTTTGGATCCTGGGTGAGAGGCCAGTCTGCAGGTGGCTGCCGTAACAACAGCAGCTTCCCTACCAACCCGAAGTTCTGGCTGAGAGTCTGTGAAAAGAGTGAGGTGTGCATTGCTCTGCTGCAGAAACACAGGAAATACAGTGCTGACTGGGCCGGGAGAATTCAAAATCTATCTCACTTAGCAGAGGAAAATCTGTCTTTGACTGAAGGCATTCAGGGGAAGAATTATCAGGCTGTGGGATTGCATGTCTGGAAGGTAATAACAGAAGTGACTGCCATTTTTCTTTTTGCAAATAGAAGTTTTAAAGCATTACTGAAACTTCTGAGCAAAATGATTCATTTCCTACAGCAGTGAAATGATTCAAGCGTTCACACACTTGGCATCTCTGATTTACGTTAGAATGATCCTGTTTATCTCACAGTGTAGTTACTGTCTGTACAAACTATTAGTGCACTGGTACTTTCTTCTTATTGTTGGTGCCAAGTTACAGAAATCTTAGGGCTGTTCCAAACCAGTGCATGACATTTCAGGCTGGTTATTTGATGACTATTCCTGAATTTACTCCTCCTGAATATTAACTCTTCCTATTCCTCTTTGATGATCAGCTTATCTGCTGATATGTTCCTCATTTACTCTTGTAAATGTATGCATGTTTATAAAAATGTTTTAAACAACATTTGTTCATTTTAAGTTTTGTTAAATAACCACATTCTTCCTAAAATGCCATGCATCATTATGCGTCTATTCTAGGTGGAGAAGAAACGATTTAACCTTCCAAAGACCCTCTCTACTCCTCCAGTTGTAGGTACCGTCTGCCACTCCTATGACAGAGAAGTGCATATATGCTGTGACCTTTCACCTGGGTTTTATCTTGTTGTTCCGAGCACTTTTCTGAAAGATGCAGTAGGGAATTTCTTGCTTCGCGTGTTTTCGACGGGAAGGATCTCTCTCAGGTAGGTTTAAAACAAAACAGAAAATGTCTTACAGTCATTGTCATAAACAGATATATGAAGTATAGCCCTAAGTATAAATGTTCAAAACATTTTGAAGGGTTGTGCAGCGTACCAAGTAGCAGCATTGTTTTGTCTTTGGATTCATGTAAGCAGTGTTCTGCCTCCTTGGTTTTTTTTCTGAAGCTGCTACTACCTCTTGTTAAAACATCAGTCAGAAGTAGTCAGATCTTGACTCTGAACTGCAG